GCAGCCATCTCAGCCCGCAGGCTGAGCTTCGGCGCGGCAGCTTCGGCCGGCATCTCTGTGTGCCGCCTGTCCCGGTGGCAAGAGGCTCCGTGTCACAAGCTCCCAATTTATTTACCCAAGGAAGAAAGGAAAAAAAAAGCAGCTCCCCAAATGAAAGGCAGGCAGGTGGCTTTTTATCTTGCTCCGGCCTTAATTTAGAAAAATGAGCTGCAGAGAAGAGAAGGGAGCGTGCCACGGCCAAAACCAGATGCCTCTCGGTAGGACCTGGAGCCGGCTCTCCCAGGCAGGGATGGAGGCAGGAGCTGGTCCACGGCCGGGGCAGCGAGGCCGGAGTGGGGCTTAATAACTCTTATTAAGCTAAATGCAAGCTGCTGGCGTTGGAAAGGCAGCGGCGTGGGGAGGGAAGGGGCTCGGCTGGGGAAGGCAGGCGAGTGGAGGCAGCTGTAAATCTCTGGAAGAGAGGCTGGGAACCAGGGCGGGAGGGGGAAGGCGCTGGCATCCGCTGGCAGAGGAGACGGAGCTGCTTCCAGAGCAGGCTGTAAGATGGCAGCGGCGGAAGAGGCAAATCTCCGTGCCCCTCCGGGGATGGGGGAGCCACGGCACGAGCACAGGGAGCCGAAGGAACAGGAGCCATGTGGCTCTGCCTGCAGCTCTGCCTTGCAGCTCTGCCTGCGGCTCCGGCAGGTATCAGTGCCGGCAGCACGAGCAGCTCGCAGAACGGCAAGAGCAAGGGGGCCGGTGTTTGTGTGCATCCCCATTTTAATCCGCTTCAGCGCAGTGGACGGCTGCTCGCTTGCTCACGCGCGTGACCCGAAGCCGCTGGCTGCGTGGAGCCGGCCCGTGCCGCGGTGGCAGTGGACCCAGATGCTGCCGGACTGCAACCTGGAGCCGCTCCATGCATCAAGCGGGCGCAGATCTCAGCGGTCCCCAAGTGCCAGAGCTGCCACCCTCCAGCTTCGGCACAGGAAAGGACACCGTCATCTGCCACGCCGGTGCTTCAGCATCTTTCTTCCAGTGCCTGGGGGGTGCTGCAAGGCTCGGGGCGGCAGCGTGCCCACCCAGTGGCACGGCCCCGGCCACTGCCGATGCTCGAGAACCACCTTTGTGCTGACGTCCCAGGTCCCTTCGCTGCAGGCACCCCCCCGCCCCGTCCTGCCACGAAGGGGTCCCAGGCAAACCCACTCCTCCCAGCAGCCCGGCCGGGGCAGGGCTGGCGGATGAAGCCCCCCCCCGAAATCCCGCTGCATCATTCCCCGCCGCGCTTGATGCTGGATTGCTCGCCGCCACGTGCGCTCCATGCACAAAACACGCCCGGGGAGGTTTTTTTAGCAGATGTGCAGTCAAGAAGTTAATACAACACATGTAAGTGCAATTTGCACGCAAAGAAAAACCACATTACCCAACGTTAACCACTTAGGTCTAACATATGCAAATCTAAAATGGGAGCCGCTAATGAAGGCTACTAATTAGTGGTAATCACTATACAGTCACGATTTGATTAGCTTAAGAAAAAAAAAAAGAGCTGCAAGAAGGAGCCCACCGTGGGGTGGGCTTCCCTGCTCCGGCCCAAAAGTGGGTGATCGGGGAACCTCCCAACTCCCCAGCTGCCCCGAGCGGGTGGTGGAGGCAACGAGGAAGAGCTCGGCACCAAAGACCAACCCCGCGAGCCGGCTGCCGCCAGCATCGAAAGGAGGCGGCAGCGTTCAAACCTGCTGGAGAATGACCTTAAAAATCCACCGGGATTTGCACAACACAAAGCAGCTCTTCCGCAAGAGGGGCAGAGACGTGCCAGCGCCCATCGGTACTGTGGAATAATAAGCGGAGAGCGGCAATTCCTGCACGGCGAGGCGCGCCGGCAGCCGAGGCAGCCCGGCGTGGGGGGGACAGATGTCCCCTTGGTCCCTGAAGTCCCTGTTAGGGCAGGTTTATTTGGGGCTTTGGGCATTAAGGCGGAGGGGAGCCGTGCTGCTGGGAGGATGCTCCGGGATGCTTCGTGCCTTTCTTGCTGCCTTACCTGCCAAAGCACCCTTGCTCCTGGGTGTGGGTGATGCCACCTCCACCACGCAGGCGGGTGCACAGGTCTCCTGCTCACCGCGGGCGCCAGGAAAAGATGGACATGATGCAGGGGCCGGGGGTTTGACTCAGCAGACATGGTCCCCTTGGACCCGCCCGAAAATGGGGCTGCGCCGGCCTCTACTCGACAGCTGCTCCGGGCATAGCCTCGCAGCCAGCACCGGGGCTGACCCTGACCCCACCCAAGGGTGTTCGGTGGCCGCCCCGCGGTGCACGGCGAGGGGACGGTGCCCACTGAAACAGAGACTGCGGGAGCAGGGAGAGGTCAGGCTCAGACACCGGGCTGCAGCGTTTAACGCTGGGGATACAGGATCCCCAAGTGCATCCTTCAGCCCCACCAAGGCGTTTCCCCTCCTGCCGTCCCCGCCGACCGGAGCAGTGGGACGCACGGCAGCCATCCCTGTCCCCATCCCCCCACAGACCTCGCGGCTGCTTCGTGGCAGCAGAAACTCCTGCATCTCTTCCCGGCAGCGGCGAGCGCTGTGCTGCAGCCCCATCCCAAGCCCAGCCGGTTGGGCTCCCCTGGGATGGCACATGCCTGGCATGACCCGACAAGGGGCCGGAGGCTGCGGTGCCGAGCAGCTGGCGGGATGGGGAAGGAGCAGGGGGAGCAAATGCCAGTGGATGGGAGCAATTTCTGGGAATGAATTTTGGGAGCGCTCGGGGTGGCTCTGGCTCCCCGGCACAGGTCTGAGCCGTTGTGCCAGCCCGGCACGCAGGTGCGTGTCTACACGGGTGGCAGCTGGTGCAGAGAGCTCGCAACTGCCCAGATAAGCCAGCGCTGCCGCCGCATCCAGCCTTTGGCTTCATGCTGAAGGACACACGCAGACATCCTTCACCGCCGGGGCCAGCTCCCGCTCCAGGGCTCTGTGGTGGGAGGAACGAGCCAAGCGTCCCACGCCGCCATCCCCAGCTCCAGCAGGGACCCAGCGGGTGTACCGGGGACAGCCGGACACGGGCGCTGCGGTTCGGAGGGGATGGAGATGGGGAGCTCCTGGACCTGCTTCCCCTGGATCTGTTCTCCAGGGCTGGTGACCCCACGCTGCTCCTGCTCAGCACGGGACAGTGAAGTCCCGACCGCCCTGAGAGCAGCCTGGGATGGGCAAACAGCCCCCAACCCGCACCGATCCCGCTGCAGGAGCCGGCCCAGCAGCCTCCGGAGGGGCCAGGGCACCGGGAGCGTGGCAGAGCACCGGCTCTGCGGTGGGTGCGTGCTGGGGCGGGTCCTGGGTTGGGATGCTCCCAGCCCGCCTGGCGTATCCCACCAAGGGGATGCCATCAGACGTGCCTGCACAGGGACACGGTGACAGAGGCTCTCGGATCTGCCGGACGTGGGAGAGCGTGCACCGGTGGCTGGGAGGCATCACCAAATAAATTCAGATGGGGAAGGGAAATCTCTGCCGCGCTGGCGTCTTCCCCTCCCCATCCCGGCTGCGCCGAGCGCCGAGCCCCACCTTCAGTGCTGCCCAGGGCTGGGCAGGATTCATCCCCTGCCACCGAGCTGGCAGCTCAGGCTCCTTTCACTGTCCCTGGGGAGAAAGAGGCACTTCCAGGGCACGACCCACCCGACCTACTTCGTGCATCCACCTCGGGGGCTGCAAACCCCCCGACACCCCCATCTCGCGCCTTTTCAGGGCTCCCCAATTCACAACAGACCGGGGCATCCCACCGGGGTGCTGCCGGCTCTGCCTGCCCCGCTCCTTGCCTGCACCTCCCGCCCAGGTGGTATCACCCCTGTTACTATTATTTTAACACTTCGAGCATTTAATTAGCTGGGAATTGAAGGAAAATTATGCATAAATACAGCGAGGAAAAAAATATCATCCTAACTCCACTTTTATGTGAAGCTCTGCCAATTATGCAAAATTATTCAAGGACTTTTCACAAGGACAGGAGGCTTTCCGGCGGCCGGGCTGCCGCGCGCTTGCCTGTGCTCTCGTGCCGGAGTGCACGCTAATGGGAGAAGCAAGCTAGCATGGATTTGTATTGCTGCTGCACTTCCTTCTGGGATGCTCCCAGCCCGCCTGGCGTATCCCACCAAGGGGATGCCATCAGACGTGCCTGCACAGGGACACGGTGACAGAGGCTCTCGGATCTGCCGGACGTGGGAGAGCGTGCACCGGTGGCTGGGAGGCATCACCAAATAAATTCAGATGGGGAAGGGAAGCGGGGAATCTCTGCCGCGCTGGCGTCTTCCCCTCCCCATCCCGGCTGCGCCGAGCCTCGGCTCCCACCTTCAGTGCTGCCCAGGGCTGGGCAGGATTCATCCCCTGCCACCGAGCTGGCAGCTCAGGCTCCTTTCACTGTCCCTGGGGAGAAAGAGGCACTTCCAGGGCACGACCCACCCGACCTACTTTGTGCATCCACCTCGGGGGCTGCAAACCCCCCGACACCCCCATCTCGCGCCTTTTCAGGGCTCCCCAATTCACAACAGACCGGGGCATCCCACCGGGGTGCTGCCGGCTCTGCCTGCCCCGCTCCTTGCCTGCACCTCCCGCCCAGGTGGTATCACCCCTGTTACTATTATTTTAACACTTCGAGCATTTAATTAGCTGGGAATTGAAGGAAAATTATGCATAAATACAGCGAGGAAAAAAATATCATCCTAACTCCACTTTTATGTGAAGCTCTGCCAATTATGCAAAATTATTCAAGGACTTTTCACAAGGACAGGAGGCTTTCCGGCGGCCGGGCTGCCGCGCGCTTGCCTGTGCTCTCGTGCCGGAGTGCACGCTAATGGGAGAAGCAAGCTAGCATGGATTTGTATTGCTGCTGCACTTCCTTCTTCGCTTTTTCTCTATTTTTGGGGGGGATTTTTCTTGCCTGCAGCATCGCGGGTCCATGAGGAGGGATGCTGCTTGCCTTTGCAGCTCCTGGCAGGCAGGGAGGGCGGGGATGGGACCGGGAAGGACTTGGGGTGTTGGAGAGGAGCAGGATGCTCCTGGGATGCCCTGGCGTCCCCCCGCTTGGTGTACGCAGCCCCCCAGCCCTCCCCTCCTCCAGGGCGCCGGGCTGGGGGACGCCAGGGCAGCCACCGTCGGATGGCTCGAAGCACAGGGAAGGGACATTTCCCAGCACGAGCCGGGGCAGGAGGACAGGAGGCTGCGCCGGAGCCAGCGAAACTGGGCTGAATCCCGTGTTTGAGCTAATTCCCTGACTTTCGCATCCCGGTCACCGAGCCAGCCGGCATGCTCGGGAATGGGGAGGCAGGGTAAGGCAGAGCCAGGGACTGGCAGCTGGACTGGGTGGGGACAGAGATGACGACCCAGGGACAAGGACACAGTGATGGTGTCACAACGGTGGACAGCACAGGTTGACATCCATGGACGAGGGATGCACCGAAGCCACCCCATGGGATGCACCGGCATGGGTCAGGGTCAGCATGGCACCGAGGGTCCTGAGCCCGCCCTGTTACCGCCACCTGAAAGGTGAAACAGCCCCAAAGCCCGGGTTTTCCCGACACCATTTCCCCATGGAGTGCCGTGGCAAGGGGAGATGCCGCACCAGGGGAAGGGCAGCGGGCACGGCCAGGCGAAACCGCAGGAGCATTGGGTATGGAAGAGCCCAGGGACAGGGATGTCTCCAGCGGACGAGGGACCCGAAGCAATGCCACACGAGCCCTTCCAACACTAGTGCCGTGCCAGCGCCGGTGCCCCTTTGCCAGAGCGACATGGAGCTCAGCAGTGATGCTGCCTCCTCTCTGCCAGGCAAACCGGTGCCGCAGCACGGAGTGCGCAGAGGGACCGAGCCCTCTGCCTCAAATGCTGCCCGGCTGCAGAGCGGGAGAGGCGCCGTTCCTCCTCTGCCGGCACGCACCGTGCCCAGCCCCAGCTGAAACCGCTGCAGGGGTCCCGTGCGATGGAGCAGCACCAGTCCCGGACATCCTGCCACGGCACCCAGGGGCGACTGCACCTCGACAGGCACCCACGTCCCGGGGGGCTGGGGCTGAGTGCTGCTGCTGCATGCATTGCACCAAGCGGATCTGGCAGCGGCACGGGGGCTGCGGGGCCATGGCTGGGAGGGGACGGACGGACACCGTGCCACGCCACGCACAGCCACCACTGCCTGGTGGCTCACTGCCTCTGCACCGCTGGCAAGTCCTGCTGTTGGGGTCACTGGCACCCGGATATATCCTCTTTCCCCCCAAGACCTGCCTGGCTCGTGCTTCCCATCCCAGTGCCGGAGAGGCTCCAGTTTGGTGCTGGGGAGCCAGGACCGATGGCCGGGAGGGGCAGG